AGAGAGAGAGAGAGAGAGAGAGAGAGAGAGAGAGAGAGAGAGAGAGAAGAGTGAAGAAGAAACCCAATGAGGAAAATTTAGGGCAGTAGTGTCAGTTTGAGAGCGCAATACCAATTCCATACACACAACATTCATTCTTTCTGTTGTTGCCTTTTTTGCGCATCGCAAACGAGCGAGAGCTCTGTTGTTGGCGTTGTTTTATTTGTTATCTTCTTTGGACGGTTTTTTCGTTGTGAATTGTGCTTGTGCTGCCGCTAAGCAGAGCCGAGCCAAGAGTTTTCTTTTATGCGCGCAATTTCTTTCTACCGTTTCGTTCTCATTCATTTGCGCATGTTCTGGCTGGCTACATTGTCTGATCGAAATTCATTGAGAGTTAATTTCCTCTTAATCGACGTCTGCTTACTTGCTCCCTTCGTTCGAGCACAAAATACCAATTATTGCTGCCAACACAACAAACAAAGAGAGAAAGAATCGTCCAATTATCGGACGTACATGTATGCATATGAAACGTGCGGTAATGATTTGGCTAATGAATTTGTTCTTGAGTCTTGGAAGTTGGTCGAACAACAACAACAAAAACAATAGGAAAATAGCCGCAAGTGCGCGCGAGCAAACTCTCAAAGCTCATGCACACACACACTGTCGGCCCCACTGCCAATCCAGCAGCAAAATGGTAAAAGAAAATGTACATCGTCATCAAGTATGTTATCTATTTAAAGAGCAACAAGTATTGGTGTCCAATTACTCGATCGATTCGCCTATTATGTTTCCACTTTTCAGGCGAATAATTGAAAATAATATTCTACTACACTATTTACGCTGTCGCTTGGAAAAATCACGCGCGACACAAAGAAATGTAACGGCAATAGAAACGAAATACAAACAGAGCAGCAGCAGCAGCAGCAGCAGCAGCACACTGGCACCGCGCTAAAACATTCAAGAAGGTAAAAGTAAGGAACAATGGAAAAAATGTGCAGAAAGAAATTTTTTGAATGTCATTAGAGCGTAGTCGGTTTTTATTGTCTACAAATTACATCTAAAGCACTCCTTGGCTTCGTCGCGCTACTTCTATTATCTCTATATCTGTTCATTTCTTTTTTTTTTGCTCTGTCTCTCGTTCTCTGTTTTCGACGTGTACATTTTTATCGTTACCTTTCTTGTGAATTCTTCACATTGATGCATATCAGGCCAGAGAGCCGAATGTGCTTGAAAACTCTTTAAATGAATCCATAATAATTAGTAGAACATGTTGGGCGCGCATACGCTCAAGCCCAAGAATTGATTCCAGTACGTGGAATCCGAAGAATTTCGATTCCAAGTCATGGTCAGAATGTGTGTGTGCGGCTGCTGGCACGGCCTCTTCTGGTCGCGCAGTGTGTCACACACACGAAAAAAATCTCCGCCGTTTGGTTCGAAGCACGCAGATGAACATTAATTAAGAAATTCTATGTGAGAATCCATATTTAGGTCAGTCTTCAGATCAATGCCTACATTTACATTTCGAGCGCAGTCTTTGCCGTTAAACGGCCAAACTCAAACCAATCGAGAGAACCGTATGCAAACACCGACCAACGCGCTTGCTCGTTCGCTCGCTCTCGCGTCATCCACATTCATTTTTCTTTCTTTCGTCGATCCATTTAAACGCAGCTATTGAATATGTGCGGCCAATAACAAACGTAACCCAATATTTGATCTCAAGTGGAAGACGAAATGTGAACAAAGCTCGTCGCTTGTGTCTGCCTCTCTTTCATAGGCAGAAGAAAAAGCAAACTTCGATCAGTATTCTCTGCAAGAGAGCCATTCAAATATATCGAGTTTGGATGTTATTGTTGCACTGCAAACGCTGCTTCAGTCGATTCGTTTACTTTACGTAAAACCATTTGGGCTTTCTCTTTCACACTCCCCACCACATAAGCACGTGCTTTACATATCACATTTTATAGCTTAAACTCGATGTACACCTATTTTGGTCGACTATCGCAAAACAAGAGAAATGACGTGGAAAAAAAAACACTAAAATAAAACAGAATCGAAACCAAACGAAAGAGCCGAAAGGAAAGAGAGCGAAAGAAAGAAAACGCCAAAATAAACACAAACGAAAATAAATATATAAATATTCTTTGCAGCCATTGATTTTTCTTTCTTGTTGCTGGTTTTGTTGTTTTTTTCGGCTTGTTATTCCTTTCCTCCAGTGCAAAACGTGCTCATCGTACCTTCTTCTTATTCCATCTGTGTTTGGTGCGATCGAAAAATTCGTTGGCTACTTTCGTTTTTTCGAGCCTCGTGAATGTTTCCACATGGCATATATCAAACCGAAGCGCAGCCTTCTCGTTCGCTATTCAAATTCATGTCGCCGAACTCACCGTACACATGACCACAATGCTCAATTAGTAGAATTTAAAGTGCCGCATACGAATTACCGTACTTTCGCATACATCGAACCGAGGTACCAACTACAAGAATATTCCAATTTATTAATGACACACATGCAGAGATTGTCCGTTTTCACTTGGCACAAACGTTGAAGAAGAAGAAAAATAACCACGCGCAACAGAGTTTTGGCAACAAACACTGTTCGCACTTTAACCGTCCAAAAAAAAAAACGATCCATATGATGTAAATAGCC